CCATACTTTAAACTTTGGTTTAAAGCGTCTTTTTCGTATGACGTCACGGCGGCCTGCATGTGGACACTCGTAAAGGAGAGCCCGGATGTGTGTGAAGTAGGTCGATTAAGTTCTGAATGGAAGGCTCAAGTAGGTTTTTACCCTGAGAGTAAGAGGTTATATTTCTAAATATGGAATTCTAAGGTTCCTGCTTTTCTCCCGAATTTTTATAACTACCTTCTCCTTACTTAGTACTTTCGATGAATCAAAAACAGTTCTCGTATTATATTAGGAATATGTTACATTATAGTCAAACCCCATTGCAACATAAAACCTATACATTTGTGGTTGGTTGGCGGGTGTTCTGGTGTGGTTTGCTCCTTCTCTCCTACCAAAAATAATTTGGCGTCCTATCTCTCCTCCGTCTTTTTTGTGTTTTCGTTACTATTTTATAACACCTCCAATCTTCGGCAACTAAATTACCTTATTATGTTGCAAGTGCCGTAAAACTCTCACTGAAGCTAAACTTATGCATGTACATAATATTTATGTAGGTCTTTATTGTTTTGGCGGAAGGAGTGGAGGAGGAAACTCGTCATCATCAAGGGCCAGATCTGCGACAGACAAAGGTGACCAGTGACCATGGTTCCACTTTTTCAGTCAGTTGCTGTTGGTCTACTCTCACCCTTAACTCATTTGTCTTCCATTAGTAGCTTTTAAGCACAAGGTGGCTATCCCGAAAAATGCTGTTTTGAGAAAATCGAAGGTAAAGGTTTTGCCCCTTGTTCAGTTTCTTTAAAAGACAAGGAAGGAGAGTTTTCTCGATAACCAAACAAATATATCAAACCAATGAAACCAAAATTCTCCTACAAGTAGGGCAATGCCCAGTTTTCGTGTAGGTCAAGATTTCTGGAAACCCCCGAAATCTGGGTTATCCCGCTTGTCCTTAAGATAATACATGTAACAGCTACGAATTTTACTTGTGAAAGCGAAAGCTCTCGCGTGTCAACTCAAGTGTCCTAGAAATTGCCTTTTTGTCTCTTCCTCTAATTTTGGTTTCTCTTCAGCAAGCGACCCAGTGACACAGTGAGATTCTTCAAGTATTACCTCATGTGATTTCTGATTTGATTTCTTTTCTTAAAACAAAACAAAACAGAAAAATCCCAACCAAACCAAAAACCCTTAGTGGCCTCATTAAACAACAATCCCCCCCCCCCCCTTTCCCCCTAAAAAACCCCGACACATTTCTGTTACTTCTGATTAATTTCCATTGTCTTTTTGGATTTCCCAGTATTCACAGCGGTTTAGTCAGGTTGACTCATGACTCTTTTACTTTTAGAATTTATTTTGGTCGTCATTGAGATACAATGGACAGTCGAACTTACCTTGGGGGCTCTCGTGGCCTAGAGGTTAAGGTGTACTCCTCTCATTCAAAGGTCCCGAGTTCGAATCCGGGTAGCGACAGAAAAATTTTCTTCTCTAAAATTGTCTCCTTTCACCCCCTTTCCTGCTTTCTAGCAATGTTCTGTCGCATGTTTTCGTCTTCACTTTGTGCCCCCACCCCCTCACCTACTTTGCCCCCTCATCTGGGCTCCTGGCTCTTTTTGCAGCCTTTCTATTGCTACTGCATGGCTCTTCCTTGCTGCTGTCTTTCAGCCACACCCCTGATCGTCAGGTAGTGGTAGGAAAGATCTACACCTAGCCTTCACGGACAAGGGCGAAACATTTCGGAGGTCTCGTGAGCAAGTTGCGCACGTTAAAGATCCCTTGGTGGTCTAAAATCGACAAGAGAAGGCTTCGGCCGCCGCCCGGACAATATTCCAAATTTCCTACTAACTGAAAATGTTTAATGTGTCCCGTGTGCTCATATGGCATTATGCAGTGGCGAGCGCCGTAAAACACTTGCCCCCCCCCAAAAAGAGGATTAAGGGAGGGCATATTACCACTTATGACAAATATGAGAAAGAAACAGGCAAATTTCTTCGGACACACAATGCGGAAAGATGCATTGGAGAATATTGTAACAACAGGCAAGATTGATGGAAAGAGAGGCAAAGGCAGACAGAGGGAAAAGATTCTGGACTAGATGACAACATGGCCAGGAACAACAAGAACAACAGACACCATTACTGCAATGCAAGACAGAGTGAAGTGGAGGTCC